GAGAGCTAGTAATACCTAATGTAGCTAGTGTAGCTAATAATAATCATATGTATTATTAGCTCTTGATATATATTTATATATATATATATATAGTTTATTAAACAAAATATATATATCTCAGAGCTAATGATACCTAATGTAGGCTATGTAGCTAATTATGGTATATTGTATTATTGGCTCTTGTATATAATATATAACTGTTTTTATTTAACTCCAGACGTTCATTAATCTAACGTGCGTTTTTAATTCCACCACATCCGCGTTGGTAAAACTTTTTAGCCCGCGACCAATATAATATATGCCATACGATCAGCTGCTCGCATACGTTTGAAAGAGCACCTGCGTAAGCACGGCCGGTCGCTGAATTTAGTACTCGCTCATCAACACCGTCATCCTGCGTTCCCATTGACGACCCGACCGAACCCTGCGACGACGATGGAGCCGCACGCGCAGGCAGATGTCCCGCTCGCGTGCCAGCGGGAGGCCTCGCATCGCGCATTTATCGGAGGCGGAGAAGTTTAGCGGAGGCGATGTTGTAGTTCTTGTTGCGTGATGCCGAGAATGATGGCGCGTTCGCGCAGTCTGTTCGTTCGTCACTCGCCAGCGGGGCGAAATGGTAGTAGGCCGACGCCAGAACGACGTGCTGCTCTCGAAGAGTATGATCATGATGTACGGAGACCAGCTGACGTGAACACGACCCAGACTATTGAACAGAGTGGCGGGCGAGAGGGCCGCGGAAGATTCAACTCTCGGCCTGTCCTGCTTGGACGGCATGGTTGTCGCTGCCGGCGCGCTAAAGCGGGTTTCATCTACAACAGTTGAGTAAACGTGAAGCAGTTAGTACATAAACACTTAGTATATACACAGTTAGTAACATAAACACTTAAAGTATATAAACAGTTAGTACATAAACAGTTAGTACATAAACAGTTAGTACATAAACAGTTAGTACTAAAACAGTTAGTGCATCAACAGTTAGTACATGAACAGTTAGTACATAAACAGTTAGTACACAAACAGTTAGTAATTAAGGAGTTAGTACGAATAAACAGTTAGTGGCATCAACTAGTTAGTACATGAACAGTCAGTACATAAACAGTTAGTACACAAACAGTTAGTACATTAACAGTTTAGTTACATAAACAGTTAGTACATAAACAGTTAGTAGCATAAACAGTTACGTACATAACCCCAGTTAGTACATAAATCCAGTTAGTGCATGACAGTTTAGTACATAAACAGTTACGTACATAAACATGTTTTTAGTAATAAACAGTTAGTAAAGCATAAACAGTTAGTACATAAAGCCAGTTAGTACATAATCAGTTAGTAAGCATAAACACTTAGTACTAAAACAGTTAGTAGCATAAACATTACTACTAAAACAGTTAGTGCAAATCAAACAGTTGTAGTACATAACAGTTGTAGCTAAACAGTTAGTGCATCACAGTTTAGTAGCATGAACAGTCAGTAAGCATAAACAGTTAGTACATAAACACTTAGTATATAAACAATCAGTAGATAAACAGTTAGTACATAATCAGTTAGTACATAAACAGTTAGTACTAAAACAGTTAGTGCATCAACAGTTAGTACATGAACAGTCAGTACATAAACAGTTAGTACATAAACACTTAGTATATAAACAGTTAGTAATAAACAGGTTAGCTACATAATCAGTTAGCTACATGAAACACTTAGTATATAAACAGTCAGTAGATAAAGCAGTTAGTACATAATCAGTTTAGCTATCATCAACAGTTCGCTACATAAACTTAGTATATAAACAGTCAGTAGATAAAGCAGTTAGTACATAATCAGTTTA